CCACCTCTGCCTGGGCACGGGCTCGGCCGGCCACGCACTCCCTCGCGCGCCCTCCCCCGCGCCGGGGTGCGGACAGCACCTCCTTGACTGGGGGGTGTGCAGCAGCCCCAGCTCGCGGCTCGGCCGACACAGCAGGGGCCGCTGGAGGAGGGCGCCCCGGCCGGGCCGCTGACCGTGCAGCGCCTCCCGGGCGGGGCCTTTAATGGGAAAACGCTGGCTTCCGGCCCAGCTGCCCGGGCCGGCCTCCGGGGCCTGCCTGCCTGCGGGGCGCCCTCAGGGCCTGCGCCTCGAGCGCTGGGCCACCTTCACGGCGCGCACCTGGGGGGGCGGCCAGAGCGAGGCGTCCCAGTTGTACTCGGGCGACAGCAGCTTGCTGGGCTTGTGGCGCAGAAAGTACTTGTTGAGGTGGCTCTCGCAGGTGCTGCGGAGCCCCAGCCGGGCGTCCCGCGCCAGCCCCCGCAGGCACTGCTCGGCGAGCCCCAGCAGCCCCCGCGGCGTGCCCCCCACCAGCGCGCCGTCGTAGTAGAAGTCGCCCTGGCCCGGGGGGACGCAGGCCGCCGAGGCCGGCCGCCGCTCGTAGGGGAAGTCGCCGGCGCGCCGGAAGTACCACCAGGGGTGCAGCTGGGCCACCGAGGCGCCCAGGGCCTCCTCCCCCACGGCGCGCTGGAAGACCTGGTCGGCCAGCATGCTGAAGAGGAAGTCCACCTCGCCCGCGATGTGGCTGCGGATGTGCGCGGCCAGGCTCCACATGCGCCTGGCCTCGGCGCTCTGCCCCCAGCCGCCCTCCGGCACCTCCAGCACCTGCAGCCTGCGGGGCTCCCCCCGCTCCGACCGGGGCAGCGCCACGTGGGGGGCGTCGGCCATGACGTAGAAGACCACTCGGGAGCCCACCATGAAGTGCTTGCTGGCCGCCGTCAGGAAGGGCGCCAGGTCCCTGTCGGCCGTCCTGTGAAGAGCCCGGTGACTCCCGGTGCCGGGGCGCGCGCCCGGCCTCTGCCCCGCCGCGGAGATGGGCGGG